GCACCACCCACTCGAGTTCAGGGTCCCAACGTTTTGTCTGAAGACCTGCTTCTCCTGGCTCATCCAAAGCCGGTGACCGTGAGGTGGCTGTAGTGGCCCTGCAAGGCGGAGCAGAAGGCTGGGACAAAGACTCACTAGGCTAGGGAGGATGAGATGCTGAAGCGTGCACATATATGCACATGCACACACTCACACACGTATACGCACACACGGTCCCTTCAGCCCTGTGTCCACCCAGGGTCAAGGTGCCTCCCTAAAGACTGAAGGGAGGAGACCCCGCTCCAAGCACTTATGACCCAGCCCCTGGGCCCGACTCGGGACACCGGCAGAAGAGTCTGGAGCAGCCACAGCTCCCCGGGACACAGGGTGGCCTCACAATCGCCCGCAGCACAGGGTGCTCGGTGATGGGCACAGCCGCTGACAGTACGGGAGTGGGCTGGAACACAGAAGCCGGAACACAGCCACCTTTCCAGATAGTCACATGCGCAAAGGAATTAGGGCGGCAGGAATGGGCCCCAAACCACCGCCAGGCCGCTCTGGGGCCTGGGGGTCAAGGCCCACAGGTCTCTCTGCTGTGAACTTGCGTGCCATGATGAACCGTGCTTTTACGAAAGTTAAAATAAAAAGGAAAAGAAACGTTTTAAAAACTTGGTCCCCAGGCCATTCTCCCTGCTGCCTGTCTCTGCTCTGTCTGGGGGTGTGGACACTGTCCAGCCCACCCGGCCGTGGCCACCGGCACACGCTGACTGCCCTGGGTGAGCCGTGGCTTCCGCCACCAGGACCCCAGGGCACCAGGCAGGACGACGACCAGGACAGCAGGAGTCGAGGTCTGAGGGATGGTGCTGAAGGGCACGGGGGTCCTGAAGGGGAGGGGAGACGGGGCACGTGTCGGTGCTGGGCCAAGGAGCCACACCTACAGCTCCACCCTCTGGGCAAAGCGGGCAGGGAGCAGGCGGGGGTTCACGGTGAGGGGAGCTGGACAGAGCCAGGGCCTGGCTGGGCACCATGGGCTCCCCAAGCCCTGGCCCACCGTTGAGCTGCCCCTCCCCCGGCGTCTCTGGGGCTGGGCCTGGCTGTGGAGTGACTGCCCCCCTACCCTCAGTTTCACTGACAATACAGGGAACAATCGTCTACCTCAAAACAAAAACAAGGCCACAAAAACACCCCAGCAGCTCAGCGCCGCTGCAGCCCTTGGGATGGAGTCTGTCCCATCCTTACCCGTGGCCCCTAATTCCAGGCGCCCCCACCAGCCCAGCACCCTTGGTCACAATGACCTCCATTCAGCCTCTCGCGCTGCCAGGCCTCGGCCTGGAACGCACCCCCGCCCCTCCTCTGCTGGCTTATGGCTGCTCACTTCCTGGCCAGAGACCAGATCACTGCCGCCGCTTCCTCCAGGAAGCCCTCCTGACTGCCTCTCCCCTAAACGCACCGTGAGGATACAGCCCCCTGGGTCCCCAGGCTGGCCCTCAGGTGCATTTATCACGGGCAGCATCTCAGCACCTCAGGCTGTGTGGCCAACGGGCCAGGAGGCTCGCTGAGGGGCACAGGTGCAGCAGTACACGGCCATCTCAAGGAGCGGTTGGAGAATCGCGTCTGGACGGCACTGGGGCAGTCCCACCGCACGCGGCATGTAGAGCACCCCGCCGCCTAACTGTGCTTCCTCCCTCTCCCCGCAGGTCTCGTGAAGGCCGCCCCCCACCATGGACACAGCTAGGGCCCGCCGGCACCCCCAGGGCAGACAGCTGCTGCTGCAGGCCCCTGTCACGTTCCTGCGGCACCAAGTTGGGTGGTGGTCGGGAGCAAGCGCCCTCGGCCCTGCCGGGCCCTGGCTGGATGAGAGGCCGGCCAGGCTCCGTGCTGGAGGGAGGGTCGCAGTCCAGAAACTTCTCGTGGTTCAGGGTGGGCGCCTCCCTGCAGGGTGCGGG